TGGATCTACCTTGTGCTCAGAGCACAGTCATTGAGATGAAGGAGGGTTTCACAGGACTCAATTTCACTCTGCCAGTAAATAACATTCACCTTATAGAAGCAGAAAGTTCATATAACCTTTGAGTCACAGGAAGGGCTCTTTCTAGCATATGAATAAATATAAATGTTGCATTCCAGGCCCCTCGAACTGTAGCACCAAACATGATACCCTCGGTTTATCTTCCCTCCTGCCTGAAATCAATGTCAAGGAGCACATCCAAAGTGGTGTGTACTTACTACAAAGACAAAGCATTATTTCAGGTATGACAATATTTGTCCAGCAGACATAAATCATGTGTATTTTTTAGCTTCCATTGGCCTACCAACATATATATACAGCAATGTACAGTATGACATAACAGTGTTTGTGTTGTGTAGGGGGGATCGTCTGATGCAGTTCTTCTGGATGACATAGTTGGACTCTCTGTGGAGAATGAGAGCATCAAAAACCTCTCAGAACCTGTCAGAATCAGGTTTCATCACTCTCCTCTCCCAGTAAGTCTTTTTGTGCATGTTCACTATTTTTTAATACTTTCTTAAAGCTGCAGTCCGTAAGTTTTGCTTCTTTGTCGCCATCTTTGTTTTCAAACCTGCAATTGCAGCTGTTTGCGGAATTATCTTTCTTGTGTGGGTTGTGCGCCGGCACGGCTCCAGCGTGGATGAATCTAATGTTTTGAGGAGTGTGTGTGTGTGTGTGTGTGTGTGGCAGTCAGTCACCGCACCGGTGTGGATATTTACTGTAGGCTACTTCGCAATCACAGATTCTAGCCTACGTCTTGGAATATATGGCCCACATAAGCATTTTCACCGTATATTGTCATCTGAACAAGTAAGTAGCAAGTCTGCCACGCTTGTTCTGTCCAACTGAGGAAAAAAGCATTACAATAAATCGTGCTACCAATGGTGATTTAATCTAAAGATCGGTTAGCTCATATCACATCAAACCGTGCAAATTATTATTATTGTTATACTTTATTCTCAAATTGTTAATGTTAACAACATCAGCATTGCATGACTATGTGTTTAGTGTGTATTAGCGTGTGATTCCATTTCTGCACAGTCTAATCTAATTGTCATACCATTCGAATTTCATATTAAGAAATTCTTTTAACCCAAAAAGCAAATTATGCTCCCTTCAAACTGGTTGTCTTTAAAATACAAATCTTGAGTAATCCCAGGCTATCTGTAATCAGAAGCACATTTAAAACTGGAATATAATTTAATTTCATTCACATGTGTTTCATAAACACATAAACCTTTCTGGATTACAATCTGCCATCAAAATGATAAATTTAATTATTCCAGCTGCTGCGAGAAAAGGCTATAAACGATCCGCTACCTGCAGAATCCTCACATGTGATAGTCTAGTAGCCGGGACAACTTCTTTATGTTTACAGACGTGACGTAATGATGCAGCGGCATGCTTGAATTTCCCGCGAAAACCTACCCGTACCACTCAAATTAGAAAACATTATTATTTATAAGATAACCATTGTGAATCGGGCTAAAGTAAGGTGATAGATTTGAACACTGGCTGGTTATGTACTTGCTCAAATATTGATTTCGGATCATTTTTAACCAAAATAAGTTACGGACTGCAGCTTTAAGTAATACCCTGTTTGTTGTGATGTTAAAATGCTATTTATAAGCTTAGCAACAACTATAGCTCACATCATTTTCCACTGAGTAGACTAAGTGTCTGCCATTTCCTTAACACTGAAAACCACATGACAAGGCTGGTGACAAGCCTGACACTTTCTTTTAACTGCTCTGACTGTAGATGCATTTCTTCCTGACCTCTCCTATTTCACTTAAAAAGGCTAACTATTCCAGAAGATGCGTTTCATGGGACACAAGAAAAGGTGTGCTCATCAACAATAACCAACACTCAGTATTAGACATCAAGCAAATGTTTCAATGCTAAATGAAGCACAAATACTGAATGTTTTGTTGATGTGCCTCTGCAGATATTAAAGTGAATTGGAGATATGACGGCTGTGAGACTGTTGAAATCCATGACAGAGAGACAGAATGTTGCTGTAATCACCTCACATACTTTGCCATTCTTGTGGTGAGTAGCAGGTTACCAAGAAAATGACAAAAGTGTGTACATACGTGTGCTTTTGCTCATTGTTGGTAATATTTCTAACTGAGAGCCAGACTTATGAATATTTATTTCATCCTTGGTAATATGCATAGCCAGTGGCACAGTGTGTTAACGGATTACACAAGTGGTTCTCAACTCTGGCCCTCGAAGTCCACTTTCCTGCAGAGTTTAGTTCAAACCTTGATCAAACTCGCCTGCCAGTGACTTTCTAGTAATCCTGAAAACCCAGATTAGCTTGTTCAGTTGTGTTTGATTAGGGTTGGAGCTAAACTCTGCAGGAAAGTAGACCTCGAGGGCCAGAGCTGAGAACCTTTGGATGGATTAAACCAGGGATCACCAAACTCGATCCTTGAGGGCCGGTGTCCTGCAGAGTTTAGCTCCAACTTGCCTCAACACACCTGCCTGGAAGTTTTAAGTATACCTAGTAAGAGCTTGATTAGCTAGTTGAGGTGTGTTTGATTAGGGTTGGAGCTAAACTCTGCAGGAAAGTAGACCTCGAGGGCCAGAGCTGAGAACCTTTGGATGGATTAAACCAGGGATCACCAAACTCGATCCTTGAGGGCCGGTGTCCTGCAGAGTTTAGCTCCAACTTGCCTCAACACACCTGCCTGGAAGTTTTAAGTATACCTAGTAAGAGCTTGATTAGCTAGTTGAGGTGTGTTTGATTAGGGTTGGAGCTAAACTCTGCAGGACACCGACCCTCCAGGACCGAGTTTGGTAAACCCTGGATGACACC